TGAATGATCTGGCTGACTCTTCTATATGCATCGGCCTACGGATGAACTTGGATAAAACCAAGGTCATGTTCAATGAACATGTTCTACCGGAACCGATTGCAATACACGGTGCCGTTCTCGAAGTTGTTCAAAAATATGTGTACCTCGGGCAGACATTGCAGTTAGGTAGAAACAACTTTGAGGACGAGGTGAATAGAAGAATTTGGGAAGTTACGTCAAGTCCTGACATCGTCGATCCCGCAGTGCCTAAAGACGAAAGCCTTCAATCAGTGCGTCCTACCTGTGATGACATACGGAGCCGAGACGTGGACGCTGACGGTACGGCTGGTCCACAGGTTCAAAGTCGCTCAGCGCGCTATGGAAAGGGCTATGCTCGGCGTTTCTCTGAAGGATCGCATCAGAAATGAGGTAATCCGACAGAGAACCAGAGTTATCGACATAGCCCACCGGATTAGCAAGTTGAAGTGGCAGTGTGCTGGCCATATTTGTCGAAGAACCGATAACCGTTGGGGTAGACGAGGGGTCACGTACTGGGCGGGCGGCGCGGCGGCGTGGTGGGCGGGCGGCACGCAGGCGACGCACAGGATGCGCGCGTTGCAGACGCCGGGGGGGGGGGGGGGGCGGGGGGGGGCAGGGGTCACGTACTGGGCGGGCGGCGCGGCGGCGTGGTGGGCGGGCGGCACGCAGGCGACGCACAGGATGCGCGCGTTGCAGACGCCGGGGGGGGGGGGGGGCGGGGGGGGGCAGGGGTCACGTACTGGGCGGGCGGCGCGGCGGCGTGGTGGGCGGGCGGCACGCAGGCGACGCACAGGATGCGCGCGTTGCAGACGCCGGGGGGGGGGGGGGGGGGGGGGGCGGGGGGGGCAGGGGTCACGTACTGGGCGGGCGGCGCGGCGGCGTGGTGGGCGGGCGGCACGCAGGCGACGCACAGGATGCGCGCGTTGCAGACGCCGGGGGGGGGGGGGGGGGGCGGGGGGGGCAGGGGTCACGTACTGGGCGGGCGGCGCGGCGGCGTGGTGGGCGGGCGGCACGCAGGCGACGCACAGGATGCGCGCGTTGCAGACGCCGGGGGGGGGGGGGGGGGGGGCGGGGGGGGGCAGGGGTCACGTACTGGGCGGGCGGCGCGGCGGCGTGGTGGGCGGGCGGCACGCAGGCGACGCACAGGATGCGCGCGTTGCAGACGCCGGGGGGGGGGGGGCGGGGGGGGCAGGGGTCACGTACTGGGCGGGCGGCGCGGCGGCGTGTTGGGCGGGCGGCACGCAGGCGACGCACAGGATGCGCGCGTTGCAGACGCCGGGGGGGGGGGGGGGGGGGGGGGGGGGGGGCAGGGGTCACGTACTGGGCGGGCGGCGCGGCGGCGTGTTGGGCGGGCGGCACGCAGGCGACGCACAGGATGCGCGCGTTGCAGACGCCGTTGCAGGACGACACCTGCGGGCGCGGGCTCAGCGACACCACGCACACCTGACCCACGTAGCCGTCGCTGTTGCACACCTGCGGCACACCACAATATTCACATTTATTTCAATATGATTTTAAAGCATTTCACAGCTAAATATTTGAATAAAAAGAAAAAAAATCTCATGATCTGTAAATCAGACAAACTTCTTTGGACGCGTTGGAATAGGGAACCTAGTTAATCGGTGACAACATAGGCGAGCGCGTGTGGCCCTCCGAAGTAATGGGAAAGGTGGAATAAGAGACAGTATCACCTCAGAACACTCGCCGTGGTACAGACGATTAAACGGGCTTAGTGACGTCACGTCACGACGTAATTGAAGAGGCTCGAGGTGTTTAGTCACCTCCTCATCGCCTATGATTTAGCTAGGAGTATGCGTGTGTTGAATCCATTATATTGATCGCTCCCGAGTATTGTAGTTAAGAGTATAGTGTAGGGCTAGGACAAGGTTACCCAAACGTCGGGCGGTTGTCCGGGCGGCGGCGCGGTGGGCGCGGCGCAGGTGAACTGCAGGCCGGCGCGCGTCTTGCGGATCGGCACCGGGGACAGGAACTCCGGCTCGCCGCCGCAAGCGTCTACCCAAACAAACAAATCGAAACACCTAATTACTGCAGCCGTAAACGAAAGAGGCATTGATGGACGAACGTGTAATGTGTCACATGCGTAAGTTCATTAATGCATAGTTGTGACCGAGGCTTTTAAAGTACGTTTTTCAAAATATATGCGGAAATGAAAACTGAGTAGTACTAAAGCTGAACTTTCGAAATTCTGGAAAATCAATGATGAACACATTATTTTTCCCCGTAAATATTTATTTATTTTTATTTGACACACCGATCACAATTATTACATATAAAGAAAAACAAATGGGTATAACAAGTCTATGTGAATTATTTTTTAAGGTGCATACAGCTATTTCCATACATTTTTGACACAATATTAGTCTCTAAAATTATTCTTCAAATTTGTAGCGTGAGAAAATTGTGGCGTGAGACAGGGGGGAATCACTTCACATAGATTGTTCAACCTGTATATCAATGAACTGATAGTTGAGCTCAGCAGCAGACGGATTGGATGTCGTATTAATGACGTTAGCATCGACAATATTAGTTACGCTGACGATATGGCTCTGCTGAGCCCAACCGTCAGGGCACTCGGAGAGCTACTCGGTATAGGTGAGCGATACGCTCAGCGGCATGGCCTACTTTATAATGTTAATAAAAGTGTGTTTATGATCTTTAGGGCGGTAAAAGGTAAATGTCCCGCTATCGTACCTGAGATTAAACTAAATGGACATGATCTAAAACGGGTTGACCAGTTTAAATATCTTGGACACTGTATTCACGACCGCCTAAGGGATTTAGCTGATATTGAGAGAGAACGGAAGGCGCTAACGGTGCGAAGTAATATGTTGGCACGTAGGTTTGCTCGTTGTAGCCAGCAAGTAAAGACAACATTATTTAAAGCTTATTGTCAAGTTTTCTTGTCAACACATGCAGCTTATGGACCGACTATACGCAGCGGGCCATCAGCGATCTACGGGTCCAGTATAACAATGGGTTCAGATTATTGTTCGGGCTGGCTCGTTATTGTAGTGCGTCGAACATGTTCGCTTAGGCACATTACGATGATTTTTACGCCATTTTAAGAAAAAGAGCAGCCTCAATGCTACACAGAACTACTCAATGCGGGCTAGTACGAACAACATTCTAAAGACCATAGGTCCAAAATATGATTCACCCATTATAAAGAAATGGGTGCAACTCTGTATCACAGGCAGGCAGATTGTGGCCAAATAGTAATTTTTAATTTTTATGTTTTGAGTAATTAATTTAATTTTAAATATTTACTAACATAGTAGGTATATAAATGAAATTGTTACTAACGCTTTATGGACCACATAGTTGTTCAAGTAAATAAATAAATTATTATTATTTTTATTATTATTAAATATCTATATGAGGTAAGTTAACTCTTGTTATTAAAATATTTTCGATTTAGTAACAAACATCTGTAGTATTTGTTAATCCAACGAAAATATTTTCTTTTTCATCACTGAGAAAGATAGGTGACAGATATCAATGTCATCGGATTTATCGCTACACGTCGTCGTCGTCATCAATCGACTTAGGGGTGCCACTATCTTGGTTCGGAAAAACGGTTTGTAAATGGCAAGATTGGATAACGTGGAATTCTTCTTGGAACTGTGAAATAAATTTCAGCAAGCATGTCAAGTACATTAATATTTCCATTAACCAACCAATGAAGCAACAAGATGTCGGCACATTTTCTTCGTTTCTCCAGTGTCAAATTTTAAATATTTCATTCGATTTTCATCATTTGCGCGATAGGGACAGTTACGACTTCTGAATGCCAAAAATTTTGTGAACTGGCGCTGGATTCGTTCCATTCTTTCTTTATGAATTTTGTACTGTGGATTCCATACGCAAGAGGCATATTCCAAAACAGTACGAACGAGAGAACTGTATAAGCACAAAATTGCAGTTGAATTATGAAAATCCCTGCAAATTCTATTAAAAAAACCCAACATTCTCCAAGCTTTATTAATAATAACGTCAACGTTGTTTACAAAAGTAAGTTTTTCATCCAATATTACACCCAGATCACGAACGGCTTTGACCTGAGATAGTTGCTTGGAGTCAATGTAGGTGTGTGAATAATTTTATTTTTCGTAAACTTTATTACAAACATTTATCCGCATTGAGTATCATTTTATTGGAATGGCATCATTCTTGTATTGCATGCAGATCATTTTGAAATAAATCTTAATTGGGCGATATACTTTCAAATCATCAGCAAATATCGAGCATTTGCTATGTTTAACTATTTCAGGTATGTCATTTACAAAAATTAGAAAAAGCACAGGATCCAGAATAGAGCCCTGAGGAACTCCTGAGGTTGACGTGAAAGATCTGGATGTACAACCGTTAATAACGACCCTTAGCACCCGACGCTTTAAATATGATTTAAACCACAAAAGCACTGGTCCATGAATGCCGTACCGTTTAAATTTTTGGATTAAAATATTATGGTCCACCTTGTCGAACGCGCTGCTGAAGTAAGTTATATTTGCGGTGCGGCAAAACGTTATAGATGCACTGATTTATTTCTTTGATATTAACGTTTCGCATCCTTTTCAAGCTGCGTCGTCAGAATTATGCAAGTACAACCTAGTTTTTTTTCTTCCTCCGTATTAAAGTGTTCATTCTCTTTTTGTCATCAACGACTTCCTATTTCGAAATCCAGTTCGAAAGTTAAATAAAACCTTTACTAAGTTACTTTCTTGGTTGTCATATTTCAGAGTAAAAGTTATTTTTTTTAATTACACTACAGAAATGAGTTTACTATATAATTAATTTGCCAGCTAAATACGACGGTTCATTGTTTTATTAACTTATGTCAGCCGCTGCTCACATGTATATAGGCCAGTGCAGCAATTTCGTTTTAACAATGGAAAAAGTTTTGCTATATTATTCAATTAAAATTTTATCACTGACAAATTGATAGTAACTTGGCCACTACTTTATGAATACTCACATAATTTTTGTTTCGTTTCGTTTACTAGTTCCTCCCAACTGCTTCTCTTCTCCGGTTTTGGAAATATTATTGTTAAATTTTCTGGACCATTCCTGTTAATAAAAAAATCATTGTTACTAAGTCGTTAAAGTATTGCACTAATAAGAATTGTTTATGACAAACGAGAGTTGACGGTAGGATATCAGGGGGATTGTCAGCACTGAATTTAAATCGCGTTGACGCTAAGCTCAGTGTCAGTATTTTTATTTCATCATCATGGTTTCTATTTTGGTTAACTACTAGCCAATCAAAAGAATTCAAATAAAAATGATAGATCGATCATAAATTTCTAAGAGTAATACAAACATTAAAATATAAACAGACCCAAACGAAACTTATAAAGCGCTGCTTGGGGAGCTCCACTTTGATGCCCAATGAAAAATTGAGTTTGGATCAGTAACTGTGTAAAATATATGTATGGGGTCATTCAAAGGAAAGAACTGAAGGAACCGACATCACTCGAAGGGTTGCTCAGCTGAAGGGGCAACGGACGGGACACGCAGCGAGGAGAACCGATGGCAGAGAGGTTCTCGAACGGTGACCGTGCACCGAACGATGGATGCGTGTGGCCCAGGATCAATCGATGTGGAGATCCTCGAGGGAGGCCTCTGCTCAGCAGGGGGCCCCGGACGGGTGATATGATCATGTGCGGGCCACTCACGCGGTGTTGACGCTGAGCTCGGTGCGGCACAGCGCGCCCCCCTCCCCCTGCCCCTGCCCCTGCCCCTGCCCCCCGGACGGGTGATATGATCATGTGCGGGCCACTCACGCGGTGTTGACGCTGAGCTCGGTGCGGCACAGCGCGCCCCCCTCCCCCTGCCCCTGCCCCTGCCCCTGCCCCCCGGACGGGTGATATGATCATGTGCGGGCCACTCACGCGGTGTTGACGCTGAGCTCGGTGCGGCACAGCGCGCCCCCCCTCCCCCTGCCCCTGCCCCTGCCCCCCGGACGGGTGATATGATCATGTGCGGGCCACTCACGCGGTGTTGACGCTGAGCTCGGTGCGGCACAGCGCGCCCCCCTCCCCCTCGCGCGCCCCCCTCCCCCCGCCCCCCGGACGGGTGATATGATCATGTGCGGGCCACTCACGCGGTGTTGACGCTGAGCTCGGTGCGGCACAGCGCGCCCCCCTCCCCCTCGCGCGCCCCCCTCCCCCCGCCCCCCGGACGGGTGATATGATCATGTGCGGGCCACTCACGCGGTGTTGACGCTGAGCTCGGTGCGGCACAGCGCGCCCCCCTCCCCCTCGCGCGCCCCCCCCCTCCCCCTCGGGCGGCCCGTCCCCGTCCCCGGCGGCGCGCCGGTCCCGCAGCAGTCGCGCGGCGGCCGCGAGCGCGTCCCGCGCGGCGTCGTGGAGGGGGGGGTGCGGGAGACGCAGGGAGCCCACCTGCTCCACGACCCGCGTCAGCGTCGCCACGTCCTGCCGAAGCCATTCCACCTCCTGCATGGCACGGCGCAAGTTCTCGTCCTTTGCTAAAATCGATCATCAAAATCAGTATTACAAACAAAATACAGTACTTCAGACAAATACAGTACTTCAGACAAATGCAGTACTTCAAACAAATACAATACTTCAAACAAATACAGTACTTCAGACATATCTCTGAAGTCATTTTTCAACTTGACGACTCTGTATATAACAATACAGGGAGAAAAAACAACCCTTGCTGAGTTTCTTGCCGGTTCTTCTCAGTGCAAGGTCTCCCGCCGTAGCTTTGCGAACCGATGGCGTAGCTTCTTGACCTTCACAAGTGCTTGTAACAGCCTAGACTGAATAAATGACTTTTCATTTCATTTCAGTCCTAACTTTATCATTTACTCTGCTTAGCCTAGCCCTGATGCGATCACTGTAACACTTGCCATCGGATACTTGGGTAACGGATAAAAAAACATGGTACCTAAGCATGTTTCAAAAAATAATTAGTATCATCTATGACTGAGACGCGAAAGCTTGACTCATCATAGAAACATTCAGTCCCCCGGGAGTCGAACACCGCTCCCCGCGGAGATAGCGATGATTTCTTATATTGTGTAAAACATTAATGTATGTAACGCACGCCCACCGACTAGCCGAGCCCCAAAGAACGCATGGAAAGACTTTTTGACATTAACACATTTATCAGACAGGAGGAGCTCCCACCCAATGACTCGAGTACTGTGTCAGATTTTTCTTGTTTTGTTTATATGAAGTCCGTATTTATGTTTGTTTAAAAGTCGGTGAAAGAGACGTAACTTAGAATAATGACACAAAAACAGTTTTATTTCTAATACGATCTCAAAATATATGTGAAAATATTCGAATGCATTAAGTACATCTAATTTCTACAATAAATGTAACAAAAAATTAAACCTTTTTACTCATTTGCCTGAGAAATGGAACAAATTATAAAAACAAATCCCATGTAACCACAATTACAAGATTCACGTTATGTAAATGAGCACCGGAATTTTGATATCCTGTTCATAAGCTCGTTTTGCATTTTGACGCTGAAAAAGGGATGAAATATAATTTAGTCATTCAGTAAAAAAGCTTTCGCTCGACATATGAACAACAGACATTATACTCGTTACCGCTATCCCAATAGTAGGTAGCTGTCCTACTTGAAAAATACGACCGGCTCGATATAAAATTTATATTTTGTATTAAGCCAGTCGAGAATCAAATGATGACGATGGCACATAAAAACCGGTATACAAACCAATGAACTACCTGCACCTGAAATTGATCCGGAACATATAAAACACATTTTTCCGATGTCCCGATACGTACATAAGTTATTCATGAAACAATTCTATGGAATAGGAGATTAAGAAAACAGTTCTGTTACATACAATTTAAAAAATGGGCGCGTGTACTGATGTACGCGCGTGCAAAGTTATACTTCTTTGGCATTATTAAAAAATATTTTTTAAATGCATGTAAATAATTAATCCCAATAAAAAAATAATAGGACTGGAAAAGGATAGTCAACACAGTCAATCAAGTTTAGTTTTTATTTGAAAAATTAAATAAATAAATCAAAATCACTACTGAATATAATTTATTAGCACATAATATATCACTAGCACTTGAATGAAACTTAATCATGTGGATAAATATTAAAAATATGAAAACAGTGATCAGAGGCGACAAGCGTGCCAACATGCGCGACTGATAGAGATTCTATTTCTATTTTGTTGGTACCTTTTTTTCGAGACTTAAAGTGCGGTTTAGCGGCCAACTTCATGGTGTTACTTTTGTGTTACAGTGATGCGCGCGCATCTTAAAATTTCACTCTCAACATTTTTTCATAACGTGCCTAAAGAAGTATAACTTCAATAATTATTTTTCGCGACCTTTTTTTTGAGTGTGTATGCTGTTGGTCGCAAATGACCTTTACAGAGTCACCGGGTTTGGGGACGGCGAGATCCTAAGGGAACCTCAAGCCGAGAATTGGCGAGTGCCTCTAGAGGTATTCCAGGCGGAGAGCATCTCCCCACGGAGGGCCTCTAGACCACTCGAACCTGAGGGACCTCGCGACCTTTTTTGTGGTGGTGTTTTTACATTGTGCGCTGAAGACGTGGGTTCGAATCCGGACGGGGGAAATGTTTGTATGATGAAAACGAGCATTGGTACCTAAATCTTAGTTGTTGCTGGAACCTGTTCCTAGTATTCAATACAGTTACGCACTTTGGGGCCTATGTAAATGTTAGTATAATATAATATATGTAATGAAATATTTAAGTTTTTATTTATTGTTCTCACCCTTAACTATTTCGAGATCAGCCAATGGTATTCTCATCAGCAGTTTGTGCTTTGTTCCTTCCATCAGGCTCGCTATATTACTTTGGTATGTCCTGAAACGATATAGAAGAAATACTGATTTAATAAAAATCACAGGTTTTTATTCTAAATCTAATTGATTGAAAAAAATATGTTCTGATACCTAACGAGATTAATGTTACTACACAATAGGGTTGTGGAAAAATTCCATCAACTTTCCTCTGTATTACGCCACAAATGGGCTCGGGGATATGATTTTAGGGTGGCAAATATGGTCCGCCAGATGGTAACGGTCGCTAATAGTTATAGACGCTTGCGATACCATACATACCCTAGCGTCGTAGACCCTAACACCATCCTCAGCGCGGAGGAGCGCTGGAACCTTACTCACCGACAAAGGTAATACAGATTGTTAATTTTAAGAACTTCCGCCAGACTCGCTCTGGACTGACCTCCGTATGACTAACCTTTCTTTAAATCACAAAGCATTAATGGTTAAGTTAAATAACTTTTACTGCATTCTAATCATGCTACTTTTTAGTTTGTAAATACAAACTAAAAAGTAGCATGATTAGAATGCAGTACTCACGGCAGTGGTTTCTTAATGGTCCCCGTCCTCCGTTTGACGCTGGTTATGAGCAGGGTATCGTTCAGCAAAAACAGCGCTCTATCTTTCATGAGGTGTGGCGCTGCGGGCGCTGCCGGCGCGGCGGGCACCGTGACGGAGTCGCAGCGCAGCAAGGAGCGGTCCGACGACGCGAGGCCACTTAGCCCTTCAACCAGAACTTCCAGTTCCCGTAGCGCCGCTTGCGCCGCCTCCTGCTCCACGCTCTCGCGTTCCGTGCAGTTCATCACTTCTAGGACTTCGTGGATCTCCTTCTGAGCTTCTAGGAGGAGCTTATGGTCTGGATGCGATTGGTCTGGAATACCCAATGGTAAAAATATCAGCGTTTAAAGATAAACATTAGGGTGTTGTCGAGACCGAGCTCTGTCATCGCAGAGAAGAAGCGATGGCTTCATTGTGAGAAGAGGAGATGGTCTCGGCTTTAGCATAATATATCCAGCTAGCTAGTGGACAAAAGTTTCTCTCTTCGAACAGTAAGCTCACCGGTATGTTTGATTAGCCTCTGTATGAGTAGCTTGTAGCTGGGGAACTTCTGCACGGGCTTGATGAGAAGGTTGTCGAGCGAGAGCTTGCCCTTGTGGTCGCGCGCCATCGCGTCCAAGAAGCGCGCGAACGCTGGCCTGGAACTGGCCGCCGCCTTGATGGTCTCCCGTGCGCGACGAAGGTTGTTGATGAACGACATGTACGTGTCCATAACCATCGGCTTCGTGAACTGAAACGTGGGGGCTTATTTCAGACGATGTGAAGGACGGAAATAATATTTGCCTAAACTTGCAAAAGAAATGAACATTGGTTGGTGCTCCTGCCTAGAGTTCTTAACATTACAAAAAATTTAGCTATTATGATTGGTGCTATTCTTTATTAGAATGAACTGATTCTTATAAAGTATGAGAGACCCTGCGAACTCGTGGGAAAATTTCGAAGCTTTGTTCACAATTACGCAAGTAAGGCATACTCACCACGCATTATAGCCGAAATTTTCTTTAGAAAAACCTATGTATTTTTTAATTAATTGTCAAATCATACAAACAAATTTGTTCGACCCTTTAATCTTTTATTTTGCTTGGCTAAAAGGTACCAATCATGTGTGGTAGTTGGAAAAGCTATTAATTACAATTGAATATAAATCCCAGTCTGATACTCCAAATGCTCGGGGTTTCTCTGTGCGATCGAATTAGAAATGATATAGCCCAAAGAATTTCAAGCCGTAAGTGACAGTGGGCAAGGCACATTGCTAGAAGGACAGACGACCGTTGGGGTGAAAAGTTTGTCGAGTGGTGGCCGTGTACCAGGAGACGCAACGTTGGTAGGCCCCCCATGTCGCAAATAGGGAATGTTATTGGTAATTCATAATTAGTATTGGCAACACTAAGTGTGCGCGAGAGACACAGAGATACAAAGCGGGGAAGAAAAAGTTAGTATGGTGGGGGCACAGGGAACTACAAGGACGGAACAAAACTAGTGTTTTTAGTGAGAGTATGTAAGTGACAACAACAAAGGTTTATGCAATGAGCAGAAGGGTAAGAAGTAGAAGAAGTAGTAATAAGGTACGAGATATCTGGTAAGAGATTATTAGTTACTAAGAAACACAAATAACTAATACTGCTGCGTTCCGGAGGCAAAGGGTGGTTGTAAGGGGAGAGGAGGAGATCATCTATGGGACTTTGTCCCGCCTGGTCCGTCAGCTACTGCTTTATATCTGAAGATGTTAGAAGTAGAAGTAGCTGGGCAATGAGGACAGGTTTTAAGTTACAAATTAATAATAAAAGTACACACACACATACACACATAACAACTTTCTTACTCTACAAACAATTATTCGTCTACCTTGCACTTGTACGTTTAATTAAAATTATTACGGAACTTGGGCATTAAATCGCGGAAATAAACATATTTCGCGACACCCCACAAGGTAGACCGACGATCTGGTGAAAGTCGCGGGAAGCCGCTTTGGAATGTCTGGAGAAAGCCAATGTCCAGCGGTGGGCGTCTCTCGGCTGATATGATAAATGTCTACTCAGACTTTATAAGAGCTCACCACTTCAAGGAACACGTCGCCGACTTTCTGCTGCAGGTCCCAGTGTTCGAGGCGGCGGCGCAGCTGCTCGAGGAAGGCCTGATGCAGCCCGAGGATGGCGGGCACCTGGTAGAATATCTCGTCCACCAGGAACGAGTCCAGGAGGCCGGCATTCTCGGGACTTTTCAGGGGTTGCAGGTACTTCTGCAAAACAATGTCAATTTGGATGTACGTTCCATACATTTGAAACGTCAGGGTACAAAGTTGCACTCCGAACATAGGTTTATGAATTAAGTGTACATTATATTAGTTAGTAGTTTAGTAAAATAAAATTGTAGTGTTCCATTTTATTTTTGTTGTGTTTATTTTATTGCTTGTCAATATTATTTTTTCGTGTCGTTACCAAACCGGTTCCAACGGAAGACCAGCACTGATGGCAAAATCAGCATTAAGCTGAGTTTAAGACATAATTTTTAGATGTGTGTGTGTTTTTTATACATTATTTTATGGCTGTTTTTTCTCTCAAAACAAAAAAAATCTTTTCTTTCTTTCAAAACTGAATATGATAGACATATTTATGCAATATTGATTTAATCTGTCTAGTAAAATGGGCGAACAGTATCCTTAACACACCATTACCGAATTCATCGTCATTGTCAAATTTTGTACGGAAATTTCAACAGAAGTATCAGAAAATCAAGCTTCATGAAGCTTAGTTTTTGTAGCACCCATACTGAGATACAGTATGTCACCATAAACTGAACAAGAGCAATAGAGTAAGATCCCAGGGCCACCAGACGTCACGTATTTACTGGCGAAGGAAATGTGGACGATTGAGTAGTGTTAGGCCGTATACAGAAAGAAAGCCGAAAGCCGATCGGCGCTTATCGGCGCCTATCGGCGCCGATCCTTCCTACATAATGGAAGCCGATTAAAGCAGATCAAGCAAAATGTCGGACTCATCGGACGACGATTTGGTTTTGTTAGAATGTTTATTTAAAAATGCGAAAAACAGCTATACATCCTATAAATAGAGAAAGGAAACGTTTCGGAGAATACCATCATTTATTTGTAAAAAAATTGAAATTTGATGAACAAAGATTTTATACATATACAAGAATGATTCAAGAAACATTTTATTACATTTTGGATTTAGTGAAAAACCGTTTGATGAAAAATTGGTGCAATTGGCATAAATAACCAATCCTTCCAGAAAAAAGACTTGTTGTCACCATTCGGTAAGTACGAAACAAATAATTTTAGCGCTTAGTTAATAAAAGATAAAGTTATTAGATTTATAAAAAGATTATAACTTAGATTGATTTAATCTAAGGATAATAATTCAAATACAAATTATTTATTATTCGGACCAGCGCGTGTCGGCCATAGAAAAAGGATCAGCGCCAATAGGCGCCGATAAGCGCCTCTCGGTCTTTCGACTTTCTTTCTGTATACGGCCTTAAGCTTGGAGAATTTACGTGAGGTACGAGTAAGTAATGTTTTTATGTACTTTGATTACCTGATACCTGAAAATTGGCCGTATAAGCAAGCTAGCAGGTAGGTATGCGTTCTTAGTACATACCAATACTACTCAATCGTCCACATTTCCTTCGTCAGAAAATACGTGACGTCTGGTGGCCCTGGGATCTTATTCTATAATATTGGAAAGTGTTAAATCTTTTTTTATATGTCTATTTGCAGAAAATTATAAAAAGATAACTGTATCTTTTTCATTGGATAAAGAACAGTTACAAAACCTTTATTATGTTATTAATTAGGGTGGTAATTTGTACGAAACTCACGACGCGGAACTTTTTAACTAAATTACAATTCCAATTTTCTGAAACCCGACAATGGGTATAGCTGAGTTATTTGACATGTCTTATCTGAATCTTTGACGTTTATGAATATCTGCTGTGGTCAGTAAAGGCGTCGTCAAAGAAACTGTTCTATTGATACCTATACTATGATAAAAAAAATGGGTGCGTGTACTTATGTAGGCGCGTGAGAAGTTATCCTTCTTTGGCATCGTTTAAAATTAGTTTTTAATTGCATGCAAATAATTAATTACAATAAATTAATAAAAAGTCTGGAAAAGGACGAAGTCAATAAAGTTCAGTTTTAATTTGAAAAAATAAATAAATAATCAAAATATTCAATTAAAATCGCTACTGAATATAATTTATTAGAACATATGTGATTTGCACTTGTATGAAACTCAAACACGTATTCCGAATATACAAACTAGAAACATATGGATAAATATTATAAACATGAATACCTATAACTGTTACTTTATTACAAAAAATAAAGATGTGGTTTTTGGTTCTACTACACCAATGGTCAAAAGATGGCGCTGTAGTCTCCTGAATCGCGCTTTGGTTCCGTTGTTCCAGATTAATAAATACTTTTGATATTATAAATATGAATACCTATAACTGTTACTTTATTATAAAAAATAAAGATGTGGTTTTTGGTTCTACTACACCAATGGTCAAGAGATGGCGCTGTAGTCTCCTGAATCGCGCTTTGGTTCCGTTGTTCCAGATTAATAAATACTTTTGATAGGCCTTCACAATGCAGTCGTTAGCACCCACTAAATAGAGATTCTATTTCTATTTTGTTGGTAGATTTTCTTAATGTGCGGTAAACAAAAAAGTAAAAATTTTGTGTTACAGTGATGCGCGGCGCATCTTAAAATTTCACTCTCATCATTTTTTCATAACGCGCCTAAAGAAGTATAACTTCAAAAATATCAGCAGAAGCACCCTTATTATACGATCATCAGCAATAGCACAGGCCTCTCCTAAGAATGGAATAGGGAGATTGGGCCATGATCCACCACGCGAGCCCAGTGCGGATTGCTGGGTGCTTACGACTGCAGATGCAGCTGGGACCAACGGCTTAACATGCCTTCCGAAGCACGGAGGAGCTAGCGATTATAAATTTCGGTCACCCATCCAATAACCGACCATTGCGAAAGTTTTGTTTAACTTCCATGATCGCAGCACCACGCTATCCACCTGCTCCGTCGAGCTCCTCATTATTGGCATTTCACGATTTGATGACTTTTTATAAAATCTATATTGCGAATTCATTTATATTGATTTGAGGTTCAGATGTTTGGTACACTCTCGGAAAGACCCGCTCTGTCACCCATCTCTTATCTATTAGACAAGTCCGTCCGTCCGTCCGTCCGTCTGTGGTGCTGTTTTAGCGGTCAAACCGTAAGAGATAGATAAAGAGAATGTTTAAGTTATAAGTTAAGAATAGTCTGATAAGACTACAAACCGGATTTGAGTAACGTAGCACTTCCGGTTTTCGAGAAATCACGAATTTCAAACGAAACCACACAAAATCTCCGAAGTTCTCAATTAATTAAATACATTTTTTTTTTGTTTTGTTGAACATTTGGTTCACTGGTTTGCTAGTAATGCCATAATCGCTTGCGGTAGCGGCGTAGTAAAAATTCATTCATAGACATGTAATTATCGCTGTCTTACTTTTTCGTATAGCGCTGTCGCGATCACGATGCGGATGACAAATTGCAACTAAAACAAATGCAATTCAATTCATTATTCAATCAATGAAATGCTCTCTGTCTTTCTTTTGTGCGGCGGCCCGGATTGGCGCGTCCGACGCGAAGGCGGGGCGTAGTAAAAACTACTGTAGAAAACCGTTCAAAGCTTTTTGTTCGCCAAGTGACAGAGCGCAAAATTCCGCGGTAGTACAACAACGAGTCTATTTTGTTTTATCAAACCTTGTGATTGGTTCATTTTAAAGCTCTCGCGTGTAGCTCTTGTGGCGAATATACAAGGGAGTCGAATTATCCGTAATAGACCGTGAAAATAGTAATTCTGCTAAGCCGCAGGTTAAAATCCAATTGTGGAGCGGACCATGGTCAATTTGGTTTGGCTATGCGGTCAAAATCTACTAGATCAACCGTGATATATCAATAGACGTCCATTGAATTTATCACTTTATTTAGTTAAGTGATATCTTAAAGTATTGTTTAAATTTTTAACAAATACAAAAGTTTTTTGATGGCTCTGAAAACGGTCGTTTACAAATAATATACTTAAATTTCCTCCTTTTTATTATAAATACTGTTTTTGTTACTTTCATCTGAAATCAACAAATATAATAGCTAGAAAAAATTCAACGCGGACCAAGCAGCAGACGGGACTCGAACCCGCACCCTTCGATTTAAACATCAAGCAATTACATGCTTTAAAAATAATAAAAATTATAAATATAATAGCATCAGAAAATTATGATCAGATTATATTTTTATGCAAAACTCTTGATTTACTTCCGACAAAGACCTATCATTAATAAACAACATTGCATTATTGCGTTCGGCTGCGATCGTTGAAGTTAAGCAACTTTCGCAACGGTCGGTCATTGGATGGGTGATCAAAAAATTACTAGCTCGAGCTCGCCCGGCAGCACCCCGGCTGCATCTGCAGTCGTTAGCACCCACCAACCCGCACTGGGCCTGCGTGGTGAGTCACGGCCCATTCTCCCTATTCGATCCATAGGAAAGGCCTGTGCCCCAGCATTGGGGATATTAATAGGCTGATGATGCAGATGATGATGATTGCATTAATTCTCCCATCACTTAAGGAGTCTTTTTATCTTAAAAGCATAGTAAACATTATTATTGTATATTTATCGTTTATAATATTTTTTTTTCTCTAACTTTAGTAGCTCGCACTCTATCGCCAAAACATCCGTCTCATACACCCATACTGGTTGACTGGTAGTGAATGCCTATGGCATTAAGTCCGCCATTTACTGTTTTTGGTAATCACTACATAGTATAAAACAAAGTCGCTTTCTCTGTCCCTATGTCCCTTTGTATGCTTAAATCTTTGAAACTACGCAACGGATTTTGATGCGGTTTTTTTAATAGATAGAGTGATTCAAGAGGAAGGTTTATATGTATAATACATGTATAATAAAGTAGGGAAACACTGATAATTTTAGAGGTTTATAATGTAAGGTCGTAAATAAAAACATTTTTTGCGCTGACATTGCAAACGCTGGCTGAACCCTATGAGATAGATCAAAATAAAGTACTACAGTATTGTACACCTTAAAAAGGACTACAAAAAAGTTCGCGATGGTATATGTCTATCTCTTAGGGAATGTGGGTTACATTAACCATTTTTTATCCTATACATTTTTCGAGAAATAATAGC